CTGGCTGCTGTATGTACTATTACAAATGCAGTGCTTACATTGTCAAGCTGTTAGTCTCCATGATGCCTTTTTATTATCAGCGTTTCACACCAGGTCCCTTTTAGCTCTGTTCTTTCTATCCAGGAGATACAGTTCTAGGACAACAGTAGGCCCAATAAGATCACTAGAATCATATATTATGGATGTTAAAATAAAGAAACTGGTTCTTAATCACTAGGTGTTTTATTTGTAACTTCAGAGTGGTCTAAAACTTTAACTGGATGCTTCAATATACAGTTATTTAGAATTCATAATCCAAATAAGAATGCTTTGTTTCAAACTGTGTTCATTCTCATTAGAAGAGTACTAAGGATAAGGAAGGCAACATACACAGTGTTTTAATTTGGAATAACAATTCCATTTTTGTAATGTATGTTAAGCAGACCAAGGGTTCTCAGGAACCTTTGGAGACCATCTAGTCATACCCATCTGATCAGGCAGAGCCAGCTAGAAACAATTCCTCAAGACCCTACCCGGGGAGCTTTTGAGCATCTCCAAGGAGGGAGATTCCATAAATTCTCTGTGCAGCTGTTCTATTGCTCAGTCACCTGAAAAATGAAGTGCTTCCTGTGTTCACACACAACCCCTGTGTTCCAGTCTGTGCCCATCACTTCTTGTCCTGACACTGGGTGCCCTTGAGTCTGGCCTCGTATTCTTTGAACCTTCATTTCAGATCTTCCTGGAACCTTCTGTCCAGGAACAGTCCCATTTCTCATCCTTTCTTAATTATATAAGAGGTACTCCTGTGCCTCAGTTGCCTTTGTGTCTGGACTCTCTCCAGCATGTTCATGTTTCTCTTGTATTGTGAGTTGCATACTGCTCTAAGTGTGGCCTCACCTATGCTGAGTATAGGAGAAGGACTGATTCCCTCTTGGCAATTACTTTCCCTAACACAAGTGAAGACATCATTGCCTTCGTTGCCACAAGAACACGCTGCTGCCTAATGGTTAATTTGTCCCCCCATGCCATTTTTGCCTTTTCACTTTTTAGCTGTGTGGCCCCCAGTATGTATTTGTTCATGAGATTGTTCCTCTCCACATGTGGGACTTTTCAATTTCCCTTGTAATAATTCTTGAGGTTCCTGTCAGAACGCTTCTTCCACCTGCCAAGATCCCTGTGTATGGTGACACAACCTTGTGGTATATCCACCATGGCTCCAAGCTTTCATAACACACTTACTGAGCCCCTCTGTCCTCATTGCTAATGAAGATGTTAATGAGGATTGGGCCTAGCATTGACTCTTGGAGTACATCTCTCCACATTGACTTCCGACTAAACTTTGAGCCACTGGTCACCACCCTTCTGGGCTTGGTCCGTCAGTCACTTTTCAGCTTTACTGCTCTCGTCTGACCCATCAGACTGATCATTTCATTTCAGTAGTAACTTTTAAATTAGTCAAGTGTGACTTCCCCTTTGTGAATTCATGCTGACTACTCCTGCTGATTTTCTTCTTTTCTTATGCCTGGAAATAGTTTCCAAGATAACATAGTCCATTACTTTTCCAGGGACTGAAATGATAATGACCATCCTGTAGTTCACTTGGTCCTCCTTCTTACCCTTCTGGAAGACAAGAGTGATGTTTGCTTTCCTTCTGTCTTCAGGTGCTTTTCCCAATCACCATGATTGGTGAAGGATTATAGAGAGTGGCCTCGCAGAGTCAGTTCCCTCAGCACCTGCGGGTGTAGTTTGCCTCTAGACTGGTGCTCCCTGTCAACATTATGAATATATTTTTATCCTGTAAATTGCAGCTAGTTGTTTGGGAAAGTCATGCTACTGTTTTCATGAAGCTGCTCATCTCCTAACTTAGTGCTGGAGCATTGTCACGGTTTTATGATTTTTGTTTCTTTGTGACAAGCACTAAGACACTTTAGACAGTGTAAATACTTCTGCCATTATAATTTGCTTGTACTATTTCAGTAATATATGATGTAGAACTTTAAAAATAGTGAAATCGTTTATAAAATGGAACATTAGTTGGAGTTAAAGAAAAGGGAAAATGTCACCAAAAAAGAACTACTTTTTCTTTGCAGAGTAATTCATTGCAATTACTGTTGTTAAGAGAGACAAACCTCTGTAAATTTTAACTGCAGTTAACTTGCATTCCATGTTCCATCCTTCAAATGGCTCTGTAATCACAGAATGACAGAATGGTAATAGTTGGAAGGGACCTCTGGAAGTCGCCCAGCCTAACCCTCCTGCTCAGACAGGGCCTCCTACAGTCAGTAATGTTTAAAATTCATATTCTTCAGACCCACAATTGTTATATCCTCCTTGTTTAAGACTTCCCACTACTCAACTGTCTGAAAATGTGTAAAGTGGTCTGCGTTGCATTAATATTAGTTATTATAATGTTCAGGGATCGCTACATTTGGCCTTTCTGAATAGAATCAGTTTTCTGATGTATATTCGAAAACAGTTTTTATTTATAATAGAAGACAAATTTTTATTATTTCAGATGTTCTATTCCCAGTTTGCATGTCACAACATTACCAGTGCATTTAAAACAGGAAGTCCTTGCTTAAATGCAGATCATGCAGATATATCTGAATGTCAAATTTTGCAATATAAAAATTAACCAGGAGAGCTGAGGAAGTATCTTACATCTTAGTGCTCTGTATACTTAAGAATAAACAAAAATACTCCTTAGCAGGAGACGAACAGAATTCTGCAGAGCAAGATGTCCCTTCTCTGATTCTATTAACAGACGTTCTGACTGTAACAATTGACTGTTGAACAGTTTTCAGAGCTGCAGATATGTTTGTATCTGTGAGCCAGAAATAGAAATCTAAATTAAACTGCTGGATTGCAGTAAAGATGTGTTTAATCGCTTTTTGATAGATCTCATAACATGCAGGTGATCAGGTTCTCACCCCATTCTATGTGTATCAAGCTTTCTAAACAGTTAAACTTGTACAGTGGAAAACAGATTTGTGACTCAGAATGTGACTGACATGAGTTACAGAAAATCATATGTAAATGAATGCCTTCCAATGGCGTGTCTAAAAACCCAATGTATTTGCCTTTCTCCCAGTGGCATTTAAAATAAGTGTTCTGCACACTCATTATCAAGGATTCCGTGCCACCCATTGGAAGACCCAAAAACATTGTTTTCCCTAACCTGACCCTGAGTGAGAGAAATCCAAGCTGACCCTGACTCTTTGCTAGGGAGCTGCAGTATACTGTAAAGAATGCATACCCAGGGTGCATAAAAGCTGCTTTCCACATTGTTAAAGAATTGTAAATAACTGAGAAATTGCTTCCTTCTGGACTAAAAAAATCTACATGTCGTAGAAAAAAAGTTTGCCATACATGAAAATAAAAGCTGCAGAATGAATACGTTTTCCCTAGATTGAAAATTTTTGGACTTGTTAAAGAAGAGAGCAAATGAAATAGCTGAGTTGAGCAGCAAGGAATTTATACTGCTGTTTCAGATAACTGCATGGGCTTATTGTGCCTTTATAAATGTGGAATGAATCTGTGTAGATTAGTGGCTTCACCAGCTTTGTGGTAGTGGAGGTGAAAGGAAGAAGGCAAGGCACCTTCTCTATGTATTCTAATTTAGTGATACTTTTAAATATCACGAGGGAAATAATCAAAGGAACTCATAAAGGGTTTGTTTTTTGTTTTTTGTTTTTTTTTTCTGTAAGACACAGCTTGTTGTGACACACTGGTATAATCCTTGCTTATGAGTCACAGGCCCACTCCACAGAGGTATTTCAACATGTGTCTGATATTTAACATATGGGCAGTTGCTATAGGAAGGCTCTCATGCAGTTTTATATGGGGTGTGAGTTGTATCCACATTCTTGCTTGGTATTGTTTGTGAAGAGCTGCAGCATTTTAGTGAAGTTGAATGTAAATGAAACAGTTTTAAAATCAGGATCTGAGCTCACAGAAGCAGATTTATAGAACTGTGTGCACCTTCTTCCAGGACTAGCACTACAGTATGTAAAATATTTTGGATATTCTTTTCAATGAGAAAATATATGATGGTATTAATTTACCACTGCTGTTTTCTACATTTGACAACAAAGTGATTTGACTGACTTCAGCTATGCTTTTATTCTCAAACGCAGCGGTATGTTTGGAAATAAAGAAAGGAAAACAGTGAAAATCATAGTGAATACATGCTTGTGGTACTAAGTTTTTTTTTGCCTATATCACAGAATTACATTCAAAAGACCAATTTCATGTCATCTGAGAAATGTTCATACAGTAGAAACTCACTACAAGTCATTTCAGAAGGGAAAACTGTAACCTGTAAAATGTGATTAACCAGTTGTAAAGAAGTCCAATAATCTCAACAGTGTTACACTATATAGGACAGATATGAGTTTACCAGTACTGCCAAATCATTTGTACTCTCTTGTGCTGCTAACTTAATTATCAGTCTGATCAATATTACACGGCTGGGACATTCTTCCTATATACTATATACATGAAAACAATTATATTTTCCCAGCTATATTGTAATCAGATTATTTACTTTCTGAGGTCTGTATGTTCACTCTGTTGCTTTTGTTTCCACCAAATTAATTTGCTTTTTTAACATGGACTGGGAGGATTAATAACTCATTTTGCTAGTAGGAACACTGACCTGAAACTGTAGTGATACCTTGTGGAAATAAGTTGATTTAGCACTTTCATATGTTTAAATACAGTGAAAAGTAGTGTCATCTGCTCATTACTGCACTGTGCATTTGAAAATAGTTCATCCACACCTCCTTACTGCCCCACCATTTGCTTTACTGTAATGCTTTTAATCTGTAAGATGATAGAAGGAAGATGGAGACCCATGTAGGATGTTTAGGTCCTGAGACTGAAATTCAGCCTGCCTTCCACCTTTTGTTTGGTTTCTTTGATCAAGAAAGTTTAGCTCTTATGTAGTAGATTTGGGTGTACTCTGTTTGACATTTAAGTATAACCTGCCTGTTGCTAATTATTTATTTTACTTTTTAAAGGCCATGATTAAAAGTTTTATGGATGTCTACCAACTTGCAAGTTCCAGAATTGACATATTAGTGAAAGAAACAGCACCTCATCAGCTTCACACTGCAGCCCCAATGTCCAAGCACCAAACATTGCCTTCATGAATGTGGGACTTACAAATTGGTAAGTTTGCATTTCAACTACGTTTTTGTCATTTTGATTTCCTGACCATTCATACTGCGTAGTTTCTACAGGGCGCAGTAGTTTTTCATTATAAATATACTAGATCAATAAGACCAGTAGCAACAGAAACTTTCTGTGACTTTTCCAGAAGAGAATACGGGGATGTAAGAGTTAACACATGAATCAGTTTTACTACTGTATCTTTTTTAGGGACCTGTTCTTTGCTGCTGTCACTGAAAAAGTACATAGTTGAATTTTGGACCTGAAGAATTTAACTGTCGAAAGATATAGCCAGTGAACACATAAAGTTGTTGTTGGTGCATAGAGGCACAATATTAATTAGGATACAAGATGTTTTTGTAGACAATTGTGATAAACTATGCATCTTAGTAAATACTGTGATCCGGTTATAAGGTTAAATAATTCATTTTTTTCTAAAATGTTGTCCACAAGAATACTTGAACGTGTTTAAGGCTATAAAGGTGCTTCTTTATTCCTGAGAACTGTGTTCAACATTCTTATTGAATGCAGGTATATTTGTGCCACGCATGCAGGAGGCTAGACGTGTGAATAAACAAATGGCCTAAATATGTAGCCAGATATGTCTAGAATGAGACTGTGTAAGTTGTGCCACTTCCATACACTTGATGAATTTCTTCTCCGTCTTTCTCTAGTTTTCAATACAAGATTAAGAGGAAATCTTAAATCTTTAAAGGCATTTTTGTTTTGTTTTGATTCCCTTCTTCTTCCTCCTATCTTTCACTCCTGTGAAGCAAAGAATCGTAAAGGAATTGAAGACTGTTTGGTTTCCTTTTTGAAGAAGAGGTAGATAAGGGTAGATAACAACAGGACAGGGGGAAATGGTTTTAAGTTGAGGGAGGGAAGATTTAGGTTGGATGTCAGAGGGAAGTTCTTTACTATGAGAGTGTTGAGGTGCTGGAACAGGCTGCCCAGAGAGGTCGTGGATGCCCCATCCCTAGAGGTGTTCAAGGGCAGATTGGATGGAGTCCTGGGCAGCCTGGTCTAATATTGGGTAAGTAATGTGGAGGTTGGTGGCCCTGCATTTGGCAGAGGAGTTGGAGATTCATGATCCTTGAGGTCCCTTCCAACCCTGGCCATTCTGTGATTCTATGAAGATCTTTAAGAGGAGAGCACTCAAAGCAGATGACAGAAACACATGAACATATATCTAAAGGTTGTGGCTGTGAATTCCAAATCTTTACTGATTTCAAAACAATTCCATTTATTTATTAACGTGCTCCGGAATGGATCAGCATGATGGAAAATTAGCACAAATAGAAAATATGTTAGTCAGTGTTGAACTTCACTTGATCTCGGGATGGATCACAGTCAATTTGGATGAATGCGTTGTCTTATCTGTGGATGTGCAAACTTTCTAAGGCACTCAATGAAATTACTTCTTTTCTCCTCCAAACAGCCTTTCTCTATATTTCTGCTAGGTTTCCATGCATCCTGCTGAGCCTGTGCCCAGTGTAATTGTGTTGCTCCTTTGCCTGTTATGATTGCTTTTCTTGTTTAGATCAAGCTGACCACTTGTATACTAAGGACTCAGAAGCCTGCCAAACTTGCTGTAGAGAGGTTTGCTTTCATTCTCATTGAGAGAGCTTTTAGAGAAGATTACACTAGTCCTGTTTGTGAAGGGCTATGCAGTGGCTTGATTTGTTATAGTGAAAACAAACAAATTGCGTCCCTAGCTCTCCAATGCCTGTGATTAAATGCAATCTTCTAGTAAGTAATTTGTGTCTGCATACAGCACAGATGTACAAATCATACTATTTGCATTGAAGTATTGAAGTGCTGCCTGGCTCTTCTGCACAACCCACTGAGGAGAAGAATAGTTACTCCTTGAATAACAATTTCAATTGTCATTTAGCATAAGTACTAATTGAAAGTATTTTAAAATTTTAATGTGAAGCCCCTTCCCTCCACCTCCCCAAATCCAAATAGCTAGTTTTCCTACTTACTTGAAAAAAATGTGTTTATTGGATTTTTTGTAATATACGTACTTTCTTTGGAATTAGTCCATAATATGTGCAAATATTTCATCAAGCATGACTTTCAGTACCTTCAGGAGTCATGAGTTTCCAGCATAGCTTACATTTTAAGGGATCGGTTGACAGTCAGTCCTGTTCTGATTTTGATGAAATTTTGCAGTAAATTTTCCTCTGTTTAAAAAGTAGGGTTTTTTTTTTTCCTTGATTATTAGTATCTTGTGATAGTCTTTTTTTGCAATCATAACAGTTTTGCTTCTATGTATTTCCTTTTTTTTTTTTTTTTAAATTTACGTTCTCTGAAATGCAGCTGCCATAGTCACAGTTTTGTTCTCCACAGTTTGCTGCATTTGGGTTATTTGCTGACTGGGGTTGTCAAATGAGGAACAGAGAAGCCAGCAGTGAGCCTCTAGTATGAAATGAGATGGAGAATTTCACTGAGCACTGAACTTCATACTGGACTGGCACTGCCATTTGGTCCATGAAATAGTGAAGAAACACTATCATAGTTAAAAACTTCTCAGTGGTCTTCCCTTCACGTGTCTCTGACCTTATGCCCTCTTATGACTTGCCTTAGGAAAGCCTGATGTGCTTACAAGGGAGTCTTTAGTGGAAGTATTTCAACAGTAGAAGCTGTACCCAAGAGAAGAGAAGATACCAGCTGAAAGTGTTTCCATACTTGTTTTTTTACTTTTTGTTGTTGTTATGCAGCAACAGCAAGTAATGTAACCATCACAGATTGGATTGTGCTTCAGGGTTTCCTTTTAAATGAACACCCGCCAATATTTTAACAGTACTGGACTCTACTACTTTGATCCATTTTATGTCTTCAAATATATTAACTTATTACCATGCTTGCACTTTCATTCAGAGTTGTAGGAGCAAGTAGGCTTTGAACTGAGAGTTTGTAAATGCTGTACTGTGAAATACTGCAGTCATAAGCAATTACTTTGTGGGTGCTGTGGGGTAAGATGTGGCATGAAGTTAGTCACAAAGTAAGCATGTGAGTCCCTGCCTAAGGGAGTTTGTGGCCACAAGTACAGTGTTGTGGGGAGTGGATGCAGTGATGCTGTATTCTTCAGTGTGCTCTGACACATCTGAGTTACTAACTGAATTCAGTTTCAGTTCATTATGGTAGTGCTCCGGAAGGTGTTTTCATAGCTGTTAGACTTGAGATTTTGTGCCTGGTGTCAGTAGTACTTTTAGGAACATCAAGTATTTTGGTACCAGTTTTGACAAATAAAAGAAACCCCTCTACCCCATTCTAAGCAGCCAGGTGTTTCTCTGACCTGGAGACTTGCATCTCTGTGGTCTTAAGCATGCAAGCAGCTGATCTCATTATACTCCCTTTTTTTTTTTTTTTTTTAAGCTTTTTTTTGCTTTCACATTAGAATCAAAGGAGGGTAGAAGACAAAGGGGAAAAGAGAGTAACTTTATTAAGCAAATGAGGAGGGAAAAGCTTTCTTAGTTGTTCTGGTTAAATGAAAATTTGGGGAGACAGCAGGATGTCTTTAACTGTAAAAGGTGAGGAGGTTTCAGATGGGTGAGAGAGGTTCATTGAAAGACTCCAAGAGGAACAGAGTTCTCATGAAACGAGCCATGAAACAACTGTTGTCTTTGGATGCTTCTCCTAACTGGAGCTGAAAATCAAATCACTCATTGCTTTATGTGGCTTTTCATCATCCTTGCTTTTTAACCCCTAACGTTATGGCTACATCTGTCTTCTGTTTAAAAATTTCTAGTGGTATCTCACACAGTAGTGGAAATGCAAAGACCACAAATTTTGATAACGTGAGAGAAGTAAATAAAGTGATCCTATGTGTGAGAAATACGTATGCCTTCATATTTTGTATTGAAGAGCAGCATTAAGCAGAAAGTATACTTCCCACTCAGAGCAGTCAGCTCTCAGTTCTCATTTTCTACTTGCACCTGATTCATGGTGGGGAGAGACACAGCGAATGCTGTGAACTCAGACTTAGCAGCTAATGACACCACTGACAGTCTCTTTCAACTTAACTGGACTGTTCAGGGCAGTATCAGGGCTGTATCTTTCCCCCACGTTTTTTGTTTCCAAAAAACATCGTTTGAAGGGTGGAAGCTGCATCTAAGCAGGATAAAGGTCTTACACATAGAATGATGAGAAGGGAACCAGGGAAGAAGAAAAAGGCTATTTGGCTTTTCACTTGCTGCTCAGGAGAAAGGCTCACAATCCATCAGTGTGATGTTATGTGACAGAGAACGTGCTTCATGGGCTGAAGCCATATCTCTTGTGTTAGAACATGGAATGACTGATGCAGCTGGGGGAGTTCTTGCCAGATGTTGCATGAGGCAGATGGGTCCTTGATGAAAATCCTACTTGGCTTTTCCACTACTTCATGCTAGCCTGGTGCACAGCTGAACCAAAAAGATTTTATTTAAGGTTTGGAATTGAACTGGTTTTGTGAAAGACTGGAGAAACTTATTTTTAATTTGCCATGCAAAAAACAAACAAACAAACAAAAAAACAAGAATACAGCAAACGTAATATTTTCATTGTTACCTTTGTCTTGCAGCATTTTCTTGGGAATAGTCCAGGACAGAACTCAGTAAGATGTAAACCTCAAATAATTGTTTGAACATTGGTCTGTATTGTTAATTAGTGGTGCATGGATTATTTACTGCGAAGTGTATGAATGTTCTTCAAGTGTTACTAAGTAAAGGAACATGTAACAGCCCCAAAGGAGAATTTTCCAACTATTGAGACAATAAGAGAGATGAAAGAGTGGAAACACCAGTATGAGCAAAAAATTAAAATCATTCCATTTTCTAATCTCGAAGTCTTTATTAGGATGACCCTGGAAAGCAGGAATATCTACCAGGGAGCAATTTTTTACAGAAGTATTTACATTTCTTACCTGACTGTAAGCAACTGGCCTTCAGCTGACAACTTTACTGCACAGTCAAGGAATGCAGGTATCCTGGTATAAATGCTCACCTTG